TCAGGGACTCAGATACAGGAGGTAGCTCATTTGTTTTCAGATTATACCCTCAGTTACATGTGGGCAAACCCTTTATTTTCAAGTGGATTTGCCCAGGTCTAAATGTAGTAAACAATTGTCTTGTCAATGCAGACAAACTAACAGAATCCTGAGCCGTCTCTCCTAGCTTTTCTGGCTCTGCAGGATTAACTGAGGTAAAAGGCTTTAAATGTCTATTTTTGTCACTAAAGCAAGGAAAAATGACTCTGAATACACTCAAGAAACAGGCCTGCCGAGTGAGAAGGTGCCCTTTTCACATTGCCACTTTTCAGAGTAGAACTGGTGTCAATTCCTCCTCAACCTTAATACCCTCTCTTTAAAGATTTTTAAACTATGACATCAGAAGGAGTTTTGACATCCCGTGGTTAGTGTTTAGTGAAGAACCGAGATGAGAACGCTAAATTCTCTGACGCTTAATTCAAATTTCTCCACAAAACATCAACATCTAGTTAACGCTGCCCACATGAGACTCTCCCTAATGTAAATCCACACAAGCAGGGAAAATAAAGAATGAAATTATTTCTACAGTGTTACCTGCCCAGCTACACATCAGTCCCAACCCCTCCTGCATATCTCTCCACCTCCCTCAAAGCCAGCAGAACACAGTCACCCTTAACTAGGGCTATTAATTTGCTTGTCATTTACTTACTGTCAATGTTGGCGACTTGGAGATATTGTAATAAAATGATGCCTGTTTATGGGTGAAAACTGAAGAAGTGTGTACACAAGTGTGTTCACTTAAAATTGTTTTGGTTTGAATTAGTGAGGGTTGGGAGTGCTCCATCTGTCAGAGGATCAGGTCATTCCCTTACCAGGGATTTGGCAGTCTCAGGGTACCTCTTGGACTCACCAGTAGCTCTTTTTTTTTTTCTTAATCTGTATTTAGCTCCGAGGTTGAGGTATTTCCTTGCTGATGTAGACCTTGTCACAGTCATGTATGCTTAGTTCCAAGTGGGCTAAGGGCCATGTTCTCTATTGGAGCCACTCTTGAAAACCACTTGGATGCTTCAGCTACTGTCGAATGTGGCAACTTGCCTGCCTAGTGGATTAGGTTTATGTGGGCACCTGTGTTCCATGCACTGCACTGGTTTACAGTGTGCCTCTGAGTGCAATTCAAGGTGATGGTTGTAGTCATTAAAGCTCTATGTGACTTGAGATGTGATTGTCTTTAGAGACCATCTCATTCTTCATGCACCGTAATCACAGCGGGTTTTAAGTGAAGCAGTTCTGCTGAGAGTCACTAGTAGTGAATTTCTGAGGTCAAGCAAGTGTTCTCAATGGACTTATTTTGTCAAAGCCCATGTTAGCTAACTCAGCTTTATTGTAAGACCTCATCTGTTTGGCCAAAGCTTTGTCTGATCTGAGGCATTTCACTCCCCACACTCTTTGTCTCATGCCTTTGTTAATGGATGCTAATTTGGTATGTCATGGGCTGAGATGCCACAACAGTAAGCAAACTGGAAATTCTTTAAAGAAAGCATGTTAACAGCCTATTTACTGGAGTGTGTAATGGCATCATGTGTCTGGCTCAAAGTGCACTCCCCCATTCCTTCAAAGGTCAAATGCATCAGACCAAATATGCAGAATGATAACAAAGAGGAAGGGCCAATTTTAAAATTCCAGATGAGCAGAATCCATAGGACTTTTGGCAGATTGTCATTGTGGACCTTGGTAATGCAGAGTTGGGGTGCTAGCTTTTGTGTATGTGCACTTCTGCTAAGCTGTATCAAACATGCTTATGTGTCTTAGGGCTTCCTTGACTGGATGAAGTAGTGGAGCTGGTCTTTCAGTTGATGACGCACAAACCTGTGTTTTTTTGGAGCCAAGACTTGTGAATTCTTTTCCCTAATGGCCCAAGGGGGCTGTACTGAATGTATATGGCCATTCATTGTTACAGTTTCTGGATACATATGGAATTCTGTAAAGAAAAAAAAATAGCCTCACTCTAGAATTTTCTACCAGACTAATTTATTTGATTATGTAATTTATCTCACTTCTACCTTTTACTTTTCTCGGTGAACGAATATACAGTAAAGAGAAGCCTCTCCACAAGCAAGAGCATCTCTACCCTGTGGCCCACAAGTGAACTATAGAATTACAAAATAAAAGGAATACTAGTTCTGACGAGACAGTTGCAAAACAAGTTTGAGGAACATTGGACTTTAGCCATTAAGCTCCTTGTAGCATGTTGGAAACAAAGACAAACAACACTGATCTCAAGCTAAAATTATACTGTACTATTTTTTTTAAATGTGTCTAACTCCTCCACCTAGCAAAATCTAACCGGCATCTTCCCAGTCTCAGGCTACATTCCTACATATGCTTAAGTAGGAATAGCACAGTGAATAACAGACCATACGATACGTAGCAGAGGACTGGCCAGTCACTAGTCTGGAATCATGCTGTATGAGGATGGTCTAGACATAATTTGTGACACTGAACATTTTGATCTGGTTTTCCATTTGTGACATAAGCCAAGTGAATAAAGCAACAGGAACACTGTTCCATATGGTTGTGTGGTGGGGTGACAACTCACCGGTGCGGCGCCTCCTGCTGGTCATCCTGGGAATTAGCTCTTCCCGCCTGGAGTGCCCTCTGCAGGCCGGTGTCTCGCCTACCGCTGGTGCCGTGTCCCTCCCAGACCCGGTACCCTTTGCCTTGGGGTTCTGCCCAGCAGTAACCCCCAATCTGGGTCTCCCCTCCCTGGGGAACCCCAACCCTCTAAACTCACCTTGCCTCAGTGGCTATTGCCAGTCATCGTCTAGCCCCCGCTCCCTGGAGCAGACTTCAGTCTGTAAAACCACTCATCATCGGCAAGGGGGTTAGGACCTGCTGCCTTTGCCTATCTCTGGGCTGTCCCTCTGCAGCCCCAGTACCTATTTGTAGACCTTTAACTAGGCCTACAGCCTGGGATTTTGCTAGGCTGGAGCTCCCCAGCTCCCTCTGCCCTTCCCCAGCACTGCTCCACCTCAGGTGCCCTGCTCAGCTCCCAGGTAGCCAGGTCCTTCTCTCCAGAAGCTAGAGAGAGAGTCTGTTCCTGAGCTGCTGGCTCACAGCCCTTTTATAGGGCCAGTTGCAGCCTGATTGGGGCGTGGCCCCAGCTGTGGCTACTTTCCCCAATCAGCCTGGCTTTTCCTGCTGCAGCCCTCTCCAGGGCTGCTTTAAGCCCTTCAGGGCAGGAGCGGGATGACCTCCCCGCCACAGGTTCCCATCGAAAAGTAAATTCTTTTGGAGGTATCGGCAGCTGCCTCTGGTCCCAAGGGTCCATTCCAGCATAGAGCTTCCTGTGTAAATGGTCAGGAGGGGTGACATTACAGTGACTCTGTGCTACCTGGGGATTCCCTCATATAGCAGGTTGGAGGAACGGCCCTAAGTATTTTGTTTCTTAGACTTGGTGCACATTACAAAATTACATTGGCTTAGATACATCACTCAGGGTTGTGAAAAATCCACATCCCTGAGCATCATAGTTAAGCTGACCTAACCCTCAGTGTAGACAGCACTAGGTTGATGGAAGAATTCTTCTGTTGCCCTAGCTACTGCCCCTTGGGGACGTGGGTTACCTATGCTGACAGGAGAACCCTTCCTGTTGGCATAAGCAGTGTCTACACTGAAGCGCTACAGTGGCACAGCTGCCACACTGTAGCTGTGCCATTGTAGCACTTCAAGTGCAGACATACACTTAAGTGCAAACATGAATACAAATGTTGCCATTTTAGTCTCATTTCTCAGGGCTCCATAGGGTATGACTATAATGGAATTAACTTTGTTGTTACATAGACAACAAATCCCACAGAAGACTGTGGTGTATATGATTTCCAATTAGTTACCCTAAACCAATTCTGCTCTGAAAGAATATGATGAGGATTTCAGAATATACAGTATATAGAATATACAGATATGCTAACTGTTCCTTCTCAGTACAGCCCAGTATATGCACTGGCACTTTTTTGAAAATTAATTAAAGTTCTCTTTTCTTAAGAAATACAATCATAGTTTAAAGTTAATAGGTCAAATTTTGCTCTGTTATATGAGAGTAAATCTGGAGTAACCACTGATATTCATGGCATTCCCCTGGATTTACACCACTGTAATTGAGAGTAGAATTAGAATTCACTGTTGTTGAAAGTTTGAAGCAGAAATTGGCTCCCTCTTGAAATGTTTCCTCCATTATATGTTGTTTCATGATGGTAGAGTTGCTCATGAGTGCTGCCATTAAGTTTTAGTTAGTTATTTGTTTTAAATAACTAGCCGCCCAGATTCATAGATTTTTAAGGCCAGAAGGCTCATTAGATTATTTTATCTGACCTCCTGTGCAATGCATGCCATAGAATAATCCATTTGCTCCTCTATTCAGCCCAATAATTTGTGTTTGACTAAAGCATATCTTTCAGAAAGGCATCCAGTCCTAATATGAAGACTGCATATAGACCTGGATCCTTCCCCCTTTCCCTTTGATGGCAAGATTGCCATGGAGTAGGACCAGTCCCTCAAACCATAATGAATGACAGGGATTTTTGCAAAGAGATTTGTGTTTTTAAAAATGTATAAATATAAAACTGATCAAATTTTGGGCCACACTTATCTTGTCATTCTCTCTTTTTAAGGACAGTGGAAAAGGCAGAGACAGAGACTGCATCAAACACACATTTGTGACAAATATAACAAAGGCCATGCATGAGTTGGGAAATATGTAAAGACCCAATGAGTGGTCTCTCAGTGTTGATTTTTATATCTATAACAACACCACTTCTTTTTACATATGTATATGGTATGAGTTAATCAGCATGAAACAGCCATCTTTCTCCTCTGACAAAATGTAAATCATATTATCCAACTATTCCCCTAGGACCATATTACCTGGTAGTATTAATAGATTTGAGCACATTGATATGCTCATGGCAGCCTGTTCTAAAAGTGATGCATGTCTAATTCAAAATATCTGTTCTGTTATCTTACAGGATACCATGTCATATCCACATTCAAAAGGAACCCCCTTGAGCAGGCCTTCAGAATACCCAGGGCTCAGACGACCTCAAACCACCTGATAAACCAGTACTGGATAACTGTCAGTCATAAGGCTCCAGCCATGCTCTATGACTTCTACTTGAGGTTAACAGGAAGAAAGCCCAGGTGAGAAGTTGCGCTGCTCCATATATTATCATACCTCAAAATATCATAGAGGAGAAGGGCTCTAACATGGGCTGATTTTCTCAGGACTACAGTATCTGCACTCGCTTTAAAGTTCTTGGTTGTCTTCCTTTCTCCAGTACTACTCTTGAGCCATTTACTCAAGAAGAAAGAACTGAACCCCATTTGCTCAGCCCAGCATACGGTTCCCAGCTCTCACAGCTTGCATTGGAGAGTC